CTCAAAAAGGCCGGCAAATCCATAACTAGAAAACACAGCTTTAAACAGCTGTAGAAACAAAGTCAGAATATGTTTCATTAAAACAGAAAAAAAGGTTACTTAAAGAAAAAAATGTTTCAGGAGTGACAATTCTTATTACATACTGATTTTCAAACTTTGGGACACATTTACTTCAAAACAGTGGGATTTAACTGCTGAACATGTGGTCAAGAGGGACAAGGATGCAGTATCACATCATAAAATAAAATCCAAATTAAGGCTCTGCCTGTGGATCTTTGTGCTTTGAAAGTGATATGAAAATGTGTGACAGTACTTTTTTATTTTTTTAATTAAATTCATGATAAATCTAACTAAAGAAATCAAACCTAAATGTGAAATAAGAACTTTAAAATGTAAGTATTATTTTTACAAGTTAAAATTGAGGGATTAGTGTTCAGGACAGACTAGTATAAAGTACCCTATAAATGATTTTATATAATTTAGTGCATTACTATCTCAATTAATGCCTTGCATTTAAATAGATAATAACACAATCCCTGTAAATATGAATAAAGATCTGAATACTTAATTACTTAATTGTTTTATTAAAGAGAGTTTTTTCACTGTGGGAACGCAGTTTGGTAGAATGGTCCATACCTTTTAGTTCCCTCATATCAGAACGTATTTCTACCTATTTTTTGTCTTTATTCTGTTTAGAAAGACACATCACTTTGCTAAGAATGGTATTCTGAAATAGTGGTCAGATTTTTGTTAAATATTCTTTAAACAAAGCCACATTCAGGCTCAAAAGATTACAGATTGTGTATTAAATGCAACAGAGCCAAAAATGAAGACTATATAAATCAAATATGTTGCAACACATTACTTGTACTGTGATCACAGGATGACTTATGCCATTACATTCAATTCTAGTGCTTTATTTTCCTCGTCACAGTTATCATTATCAGTATTTCTCTAAAAGATGTATTGCAACATATTTTATGTTGTTCCCTGAGGTCCTCTCATGACGTTTATGTGGGTTTATATATACTGAAAACATTCATAATTCATTATTACATGGCTATTTTACAACCTGTGCCTTGTTCAAAAGCCAGTGTGGCCTGAAACACTCCTTATAACTTCAGCATCAGTGGGCGAAGCTAAACTGCTGTAGATTGAATAGGCAGATATATGTAAATGAGTTGGTTTTTGTGACATCATGAAAACAGACAATTTCAAACAGGCTGTTTTGCAGCATTATCTGAACAGTATGAACTGGGCAGTGAACTGTATGTTTTGAAGCGTTAATATCAAACTGTTTTTAACAAAGCAAGGAAAATTCGGTTTCCGATGTTATGTGAACTTCTTTCTGTTTCTTTTTTATAATGACTTACAAGTCATTAGATATATGACAGCATGGTAACTCTAACTGCAGGTGTTCTTTTTCACCTAATTTTAGGCTTTAGCCTTTTGAAATGGCATGGATTCCACAGAGAAGAGTCAATGAGAGGCTTCTGTCAAAATGCTAAAACACTAAAAACGGATCAATGATTCAAAGTACTCAAGCAAATCAGCAGCAGAATAGCCTGAGCTCTCAGAGTGGCTATTTCAAAGCACAGGCCTAAATCCAACTGAAACTCTGTATGGGGCTGAGGCTGTCCATGGAGGAAAGCCCTCAAAGACCACCCAGCCAAAGCTGTTCAGCATGGACGATGGACTCGGAGGTGCCAACATGATTCCCAGTCAATGAAACATTGATGCAGAGTTAAAGCAAATGCTTTTACTACATCTCTTCCAAAGGTGAGCAGCACAAGGTGGTTAAGCAAGAGCTGCACTTAGTCTTAGTGAACCAGATCCAGCATTTTCAAAGCTGCTCAAATTGTAGCAGAGAATTCAAGCTGAGAGACAGTTCCACAAAGACAAATCGTCCTTGTTTATACGGTGCTATAGGGCAAGTGTAAGTTATTTCTTAGATTGTTTTCTGGCTTGAACAGAGCTGCCACGTTAACTTCTTAAAATACCCATGAACTGCTTGGAATTGTCAAAATCCATCTGCAACCGAAGCACGATCATAATGTCTCTCACTGGAAATTCCATGTTGATCTTGGATGGGCTGAAATAACACCGCTGCTTGTGCCACACACATGAAAGTGCTTTTCAACGCTCATGAGGGTCCACAGAGCTGAGAATCTAGCTGGATTGTTTGCACCTCCGGCTGCCATCGTCTGTCTTGTTCAACATGGAAGTAGTTATGTTGGTTGTGCAGTTTAAAACAAGAACGTGATATTTGTTTGAATGTCTTCTTGTGACTCTTCCCAGTACAATAGATAGACTAGTACGTATAGGTAGACTGAGTGAACTGTGAATAGTATCTTACATAGAGAGTCTATGGCATTTTTTGCTATTGTTTAGCTACTGTTATTTTAAAGTACTTTAAACACTACCATTCAAAAGTTTGGAATCACTCGCCATGTTATTAGTTTTCGAACTATAAATTACACAATATAGATTTAAATATTACAAACTTCTTGCCAAAAGGTATTTTTAAAAGGTTTTTATTCAATATTTCAATAATTCTGTGAATAGGTAGTGAGTTAAATGATGCATAATATACTGTACTTCTGTCTTTACATTCATTTTTTGTGAAATCATCTACTTTCAGCTTTGATTTCCACTTCTGAAACAGGATGGAATCTAGATAATAATTTAATTCTAGCTTAATTCTTGACGAAGTACAGCTTTCTCAGTCATCTTAGAATCTTGTAGTGCTCCTTCATTCTGGACACATCTAACATAATTTTTTTATTGGTAACACTTTATTTAGAGTGGTCCTTTGTAAATGATTAATAAACTCTGAACAGTTTATCAGTAACACATCAACAACATATCAGTGAAGCAGCAGTAGTGAAGCATGAAGTAAATATCTTGAAGATGTTCTGTTAATACATTAAGTAGATGTATTGTTAATATGTTACTTCCATTACGCAAAACCTAACCTTACCCAACCTTACCCAAAACCTGACCCTAACCCTGCCCCTAATCCTAACCCTAACCATAACCTCAAACCAAAACCTAATCCCAACCCTCATGTCTTTGACATGTTACTGAGAGTCTGTTGAGTGTTTGTTTCGTATGAAAAAGGATCACTCAAAATAAGGTGTTACGTTTTTATTTACAGCTTCCGAGTGTCCTGGCGATCATTTAAAACTTGAATATGATTAACATTGCATTGATTGGATGACTAACAAGGCTGCATTGTTTCAGCAACCAAACTGGATTATATTATTGAAAACATTGATTACAAACTTTTAAACAGCGATTACAAACTGTTGAATGCTACTGAAAATAAAAGGTATTATTATTATTATTATTATTATTATTATTATTATTATTACTACTACTACAATAATAATAATTACTATTATTATTACAGAGACCATGCTTTCATGTATTTAGTTTTCAGGTTATTCATTTTTAGTGTCAGAAAGCAAGGAACATATATTTAACAGAAAATTATACAGAATCCTTTGACAACTAAATATAATGTCAAATCTATCAGTATTTACTTTGTCCACTCTTTACTTTTGTCACTTTAAGTTTACCAAACTGCCACTTTAACTCTTCCATCCTTCCAATCACTGTTACAGCTCTGTCCTTCCATCAAAAGCTGTTTCCAAAAGAGTCACTGGCATTATGTTCCCCTCCAAAGACACTAACATTCGCAACTACCCTGCCTCACAAATTTCTTCCTCATCTAAAGGAGATATTTCTGAGAACATTAGATATAAGATAATTCACTTGTATAAAGAAGGAAATATTTAAAGGAAAATAAGACAGAAATTTCAAAAAGTGATTAAAAGTTATAGAGAAAATGGGGCTTCTAACAACAATGCAAAACCAGGTAGACCACCAAAACTGTCCCCCTCAGATAAACAGCCCTTAAAGCTTTTATCTTTGATAGATGAAGCTCCACTCTTGCTTTAAATCTGAAAAATCCACTGGTGTTTCTGTCCGTCCTTCCACTGTAAGACAACTCAACACTGAGTCTGAAAGGATGTGCAGCTGTCAAGTAGTGATTCCTGAAAAAAGGAAGTAGATAAAAAGGAAAAATCTTTGCTCTACACTCTTACAAAAGATGGTTCTTCAGTAAAGAAAATGGTTCTATATAGGACTATGAACACTATGAACACTCCAAGAACTTCAGAATAATGGAGAATGTGCTTTAGATAATCTATATAGAACCTTTTTGAAAATGGTTATATATAGCACCCAAAAGAGTTCTTCTATTGTTACGATGTCAAGCTTGTAACAATAACAGAACCCCTTTGTGTGCTATGAATCCTTTTCAAAAAGGTTCTATATAGAAACGTCTATAGCACATTTATGCAAGTTTTCCCTTTTCATGATGCAAAGAACACTTTAATCATGCAAAGGATTCTTTGAGTGTACATGGCTCTATATAGAACCATTTTCTTTACTAAAGAACCATTGAGGAACCATCTTTTTATAAGAGTGAAGAACACTGAAACTGAACATCTGAGACGTATAATATTTGAGGCTTCTGTGTAATTTTCTGTTAAATATATACATTTAAATTCTTAATGCTGTACATAAATAAACTGGAAATTAAACAAATAAAAGGGTGGTCTCTGACTTTTGAACAGTACTGTACATCCACACTGATCTGCCATAACAGACAGATATCAATCTGATATTTCATTTCCACCGAAAACGTCTATCACAGTTTTACACATTTCCAATGAACAAATCATTTCTTATTTGTGCAGTTTTACTTTGACTTGTTTAGATTTTTGCATGAGAACAGAAACGCGACACGAGTGCCCTTTAAAACCACATTAATCCATGCTTTGGAAGACTGAACTGAAAGAAAAGGTTACAAGCATATTTCAGTTTGGCCACTCTGCCAAGCGTTAGAAACTTTACAATCACTCGGTGTGCCGTATAAAAAGCTTATTGTTCACTGCTGGTAAATGTCTATGATTTGTCAATGTGGAATTACCATGTAATAATAAACAAATGCCGGCGATTTTATTCTCACAGCCAATAAGGTCTTGCAGTTTCTAGACTCATCGATGCAGCACGAGGAATCTGATAGTGGGATATTTCCTAAGACATTAATATTCCAGACACAATGTTTCAATCAATGTAAGGAAGCACAGAACAATTCACATTTTCATATATTTTTAATAGATTTCTCAAATAGCCTACATTTCAGGCAATTCTGCCCCCCCCCCACTTCATTTTCACTAAAGCTAAAAGCAAACAATAATAGGACAAGATGCTCTAAATGGACAGTTACATTAAAAATAAGGAGGCCACAGTTACTCTCCAGAACAATTCTGCACCCTGACGTTTTACACAGCTGAAAGTAAGTGAGGTAAAAGTCAATGCAAGATTTTCTCCTGAAACCTTAATCTTAACCAGATGTTATTGTTGACGTTGCTTCTGTTAGACAAAGTCTTGATCTTGACTAAAGTGTGAGTATTAAGTGTAAACTTCCTGGGAAAAATCACAAAGACAACCACTGATGAACATCAAAAACAGAAACCCAACGGCTCAAAGAAGAAATCTAATTGATAAAACATGAACAGTTTATCAAAAACAGAAAACATTTGATATCAATAAATCAATAAATAAAACAGAAAGAAATTAAGAAAAATTATACTCAAATTCGCACACTGCCTGAGACACAGTGGCGTTCGACAAATGTATCAAGCTCAAATGCCTGGTTCAAAATTCTTGCATTGGTGAGCTTGCACTCCACACACTGCCCTCAAATAACTGGCAAGCTGTGCTGGCAAAAACCTCATCATTTTGACAGCAAACTATCAGAGAAATTCACATTATGTAAGCAATATGCAAAGTGAGAAATGAATCTGAACTTCTGATAAATCAGTCAAATCAAATACCCAAATACACTCTAGAAAAGCAAAATCACAGCATTATTGTCATACAAATGTAAATTGGTCTTTTTGCAGTTGGAGTTTTGAAATAAGATCATAAAAATGTAAAATGCAAAGTGCCAAATGTTTAAATTGGTCTACCAAAAGACTGAATGTGGATTTAAAGACAAACCCTTAAAACCTCACATTAAGACTCAGAAGTGCGACTATTGCTTTGTCTATAATCCCAAATATACGCATTACTTCAAAAATGTCTATAAAAAAATACAAATATTTTGCATATTGTAGACTCCTATATTACAATGCTTCCATGTTTCCTAGAAACCATGTTTGTCCTGTCTATTATCAAGCAGACTGATAACCTTTACTTCAAAGAACATTTCAAAGCCATGAGAAAAAAAAAAAAACAAAACAAAGTTAAGAGCTATTCCAGTAAAAGAGCAAAAGAAGTGAAAGATGTTCAACAGATGCCAATGGCATTGTACTTTAGCAGCTTGCGCTCTGCAAATACTAACCTAAATGTGTTCCACTAAGCGATACAGATATTCTGCTGTAAACAATTCCAGTCCGATATACCACCCAGCTCTCACTGACCAAACATTCATATGAGAAGGTTTAGCCCCTGAACCTTTACGCTCATTCATATTGATGGGAAAATAACTTATACAGATGGGAAAGTGCTGAAGAACCTTGGCCCTTTAAATGCAGAAAGCTATACATTCATATCTGTGCCCTGTGAGAGGCATTTTGAGTTTATGAGTGCATGGCAGAATGTTGAAAACAAAAAAAACCCCAAAACAATATGCACACAATACCACAAAATGCTACTGAACGCAGGAAAGATTAGAACTACGGTTTGTCATCTTTCAACTTCAAGGCTACTTCCTCCAATTAACGTTTTTACAACTTTTTTGTGTCTTTTCTTGCTCCTTTTTTTGTTAAAATACATATTTTCACATCAAAGATATTTGGCAGTACAGGAGTGGTGGTGCACAATAACAATACAATAAATTTTAGGTGTCTTATTCTCTTGGTTTGAATATACATAGGTTAAAAACAGGGGCTCTACTCTTCACGGAAGGATATTAAATAAGACTTCAGCATCTTCCTAAACGTCCTTATCACAAACACCAAAGCCCTGGTGCGAACACTACATATCCAACATCATTTTTCACAGCATCTAGAGTCCTTTAAATAAATGGCAGTGTTATTTCGTTAGAGATTGTGTTTTCAATGCTGTCTGCTGGGGTGGATGCAATAATACAACAGACTCAGCAGTCTACCTTTGAACATACGTTTTTGCTTTGGGTATAGATAAAAAATAAACAAAACAAAAACAGAAATTTCAACCAGACACATTTCAGTCAAAATAAAAATAAAAACATTAAATATACCAAAATCCAATGCTTTTTTTTGGAAGGCCAAAAGAAATTCACAAATAACAGTGGCAAAGTGTAAAGTATAACTAAAAACTAAAGAAATTCATTGCTATTCATTAGATGACTAACCATCCTCTCATACTAAGGAAGTTGGATTTGGTGGGACATACTGCAGCCTACATCTTGTAATAACTTTAGCAAGTCTAATTTATGTTTTATGTTTGTATATTTGTCTGTTGTCATTTATTTTCAGTTTCGTTTCTTTCGGCTGCATGTGTCCTCAATTTCATTTCAGTGCATCGCTAAAAACAAACATCAAAATAAAGCATAGAATCGAATTAAAAGATCTGACTGCAATAATTATTTGTGATAATTGTCTGGGACAAGTAAATGGAAACTTACCACATAAAAAGACTATAATTATCAGGAAACTTAAAAGTCAGGACTTTGTTGTACGTTTAGAACATATTTATCCACTCTGTTATCTATTTCGTTTTCTATCTCCTTGAATTCCCCTCCACTGAGAACAGGATTGTGTATTTACTCTGAAAATTGAGAGCAAGTTGTTACAATTAATATCAAAATCTGTGAACAAGAAGGGATGTTTTTCTGAAGAAATCCTGTAGTAAAACTTATCAAAAAGAGGGAAAAGAGTGTAATAAGTCATTGGATGTACAGACTGTACACAATAGAAACTATTAGAAAATGTGCACTTAGTTATAATTTTTATTCCATATTTTTATCCACTACTGAGTGCCTGCAAAAATCAACTAAAACAAGGCTCCACTTTGAACAATTTGGGATAACAGATTTAAGCTTGGTTTCTGGTCATTTCAAATTGGAAAATTTTAATAATTCATAGTCACTAGTCGCAAGCTGGTAAACTATAGAAGCTTTAAAACTCAGTCTACAATTAGACCTCAGTGTATTTGAAGTAAATATAATATTTTAACAGTGCGCACTGGAGTAATCAAGAAAGAGACGTCAGGACACTTATAACCTACTTAAGCTGTAATGACCATCCACTTTTTGCTTTGTCTGGCACAGGGGACATTTTAGTATTTCATCATAAATGTTAGCCCTCTTACAAAATGACTACACTAGTCCAAAACTAAATTAAGCACCTTTACTAACGCCTAAAATTAAGTATTCTTATGTCGGGGAAAAGGAAACAAAACCTATTCAAAGCCCCAGACACCCTATTACGCATCAATGTGATGAGCTTGAGAATTTAACTCCCCATCCTAGAAAATGCTTTTTTACTCAGAAAAGAAAAAGTGCTATCCACCCCATGACTGTGAATATGAGTTTAGGGAGAAACACCTGCATAATAATCTCACTGGAACTAGCCTTCAGGCCAGAGTGATGGAGGTCTGGGATGTTTCCAGCAGTGCTGGCTGCATGGCTGTGTACAGTGCTGAGAGTAGACTCTGAGTAGTTGCTGCTACGTGCTCCCTGCGGACCTGGTCTCCCCTCCCTCTGTGACACCTGCAGGTAAAATGGTACTACATCAATCAACAGAAGATTCTGGTGTGACAAGACTCTATTAATCCTATCAGACCAGCTGCTGGAAGAAATGTCATGTTGTTTTAAGGCAATGTAACTAGAGATATTGAGCTAACTAGCCTAGCAAGCCCCAGTTTCACAATGTGGAACTTACCTAAATTTCAATACTAAAGTACTCATGTCTTTTGAGCATCCATGAGCCTATAAGCATGCTTGCTCCAAAATTAGACTGGAGATTGGCTGTCTGAATTACATTATGCTGGCATGTTATTTCAGTGCTTCTTGATTAGCCTCTTGATCTTTGCAGGCAGTAAATATGCCCACTACCAGCACCTCACACAAGGGCCGGCCTGAACAGCATTTTACAGCCTCCAAATACTCCAAACTAAACTTAAAATCATAACCATAAGTATAGATCAGAGTATTTGGACACTGTAAAGTGTGATGATCAGGTAAAGATCAAAATAAAAAAGATTACAAGGATTATAAAGAATTATAAAGATTACACATACATAGTTGAAAGATTTTTCAAACTTGTCGTGCCTCCACAGTGCACTAGACTCTTATCACAAAGTTTACATTAAGCATTTTTCTTTAAGGGCTGGCCATTTAAATGGGAATTCCACTGTTTTTTTTTGCATAAATAAATGGTTAAGATGTAAACAATGTCATATATAGTGGTCGGACCTGAAATACTAGTTCTAGAAAAATGTACTGGGTCAGAATTGTTCACAGTGGTGGTAATAGGAACCAGATGACTAATGAGTTTAACGCCTCTGAAAGCTCCCTCATAGAAAGTTTTTACATGAAACGGTTATAAATATGCTGCGTGAAGCCTGAAACTAAAGGTTTTAGCCTAAAATGTATTTTTTCAGAGCCACTCATAGCAGAGAGGTACACCCAAGGCCTTAGAAGGCAAAGGTCTCCAAAGAAAACTTTTTTCAGATTCACCATTTTGACTTGATCAACATTACATATCATCACTGTAGCGCACTGTAGTGTTTTTTTAAATATGATGAATAGACCAATAGAAATGCTCCAAAATTACTTGGAAAAAAACTTTTTACTGATTTGGAGAACAAAACTGTGATATTTGTGTTGTAGGCATCATGATCCGAGGTTCCTATTATCACCACTGTAAAGGAATCAGAGTTTCTCTACAGTGAACGATTTCACATCAAACCAATCTGAATGACTTTCTTTACATTTCAATCACTTAACAACATAGAAATGTTGAAAAAAACAGTGGACTTCTTCTTTAAACTGCTTCCACACATCTTTGCTCTTTACCTTCAATAGCCACGTAGAAAGCAGTGCAGTTTGTTGAACTGAGGCAAGCTGACGAGAATGTGCAGCATTAATTTATTATGCATTCTAAACGAGCTAGAATTTAAGTATTCAAATTATTTGGGACAGCCCTACCTCACACTCATTTCTGATTTAAGCCAAAAACACTATTCTTTTATAGTTTAAAAGACAATAAAGAAAGAAAATCTTGTTCAGAAATCAGAATCAAGGTATTGGTGCTGGTAGTGGTACCTAAACTGTGAACAATATCCAGCTCTTCACAGAAGTGTTTATAATGAGCATCATATCTCATTAGCTGAGGTTGTGCTGATGTCACCATGATCATGCAAATTACAAAGGTATGCAAAATTTGAAAGGCCTTAATTTAGCTCTGAAAGGGTTAATGCCAAATGATTGCCTGCGGCAAGCCTACGCAGTAAAAAGCTGTTTGGCATGCAACAAAGAGCCAGACTGTTTTGGTTAAAAAGCACCTGCAAGATTACCAGTCTATATGCACAGTACAATTACATGCACGGGTAGTATTTCTTCCACATTGGAGTGAAAGTGATATGACAGAGTACAACGTCAGCAGTTTGCAATATTAGGATATATTACTTCAGACACTAGTGAGCAGACTTTATCCTACAAAATAGCGTCCACATGAGCAGTCTGAAAGAGCGCTAGTTTTATGTTACAGGCATTACCTGAAGCAGGGGCAGAAGCAGCAGTTATAGGGGCAGCATGAGAGTCGTCCTCATCGCTGGACCGGCTGGCTTCACCCTCTGGGAGTGTCGGCTGAGGCTCCAGCTCCTGCTCAGCATGACTCCGCAGGGCCAGGATGCGGTGATGCAGAGCTGCAAAAAGCTGCCCTGAGTCCTTAGAGCTCGCCTGAGGAAGAAGCACACGCAAAGCAGAGGCACAGCTGACAACCTCTCACCTTGTTTCTAGGGCTATCCACTCTATCAATGAGATAACTCATCATTAACAGTGGTCTAGCATGACTAAGATTCTGCAAGTCAACCAATTGCATACAGTATCTTTCTTCTTTTACATTAATAGATTTACTCAATTATTTATTTTTACAACTTAATCTTTGGGAATGGAAGTTTGGAATCAGGCTTTTTGGTAAACCAAGAAAATCTTAAGTTAGGAACAACCCTAATTTTACCCTTTTCCTTTGAATAGCAAAGACTGAAGTCTGTCTTACTGATATAAGGAAGACTTTAATTCCCAGGTCCTCTGTGTCCATGGCAGTAATGCGAATGCTCTTTTCGCTGGCTTTGTCCACCTGCATCTGGGCCCACAGTTTTGTGTTCAGAATCAGACGTAGACTTCCTTGAGTTCGCATCACTGAAGTACAAAAAGGCACACGCAAAACATGAATCATTATCAAACTAAACATAAACAATGATAGGGGAAAAAAGGAGCCTTATACAACTTCTGCATATGGAAACGTCATAACTGAAAAATGCTTGGGTAAGGTAAAATTTATACTGGGTGACTAGGAATCTTAAATTGTACATGAGAGGTCATGCTCTACCTATTACTCCTCGAAAGCTCAAATTATGTCTCAAATTATACAGCATTTACAAAAGCCTTTCCTAAAAGGTCAGACATGATTCCGTCTGCGCTCAGTATGCAGTTCACACACATTACCCAGTCTGGACTGCAGCGTTCCATTGTGGACGTCAGTGGACGACATGTCATTAAGTCTCAGGAGTCCGCATCCCCTCTCAACCCACGACTGAGAGCTCTTCTCAAAAACAAACAGCTTGCACTGGATCTGCAGGAGAAAAAGATTTTTAGATTACATTAATCCATGTCAGAACATCTGAAGCAAAGTGTTTGGATTTACTGCAATAAAAGATATTAAGTGATGAGAACTGCACTACTTGAGCTTTTCATGTCTTTTTTTATTTGACACAAATTAAATTAAGTCTGAACATGTCTGTATATTCAAATACTGAAATCACAATTCGGCTATGTGTTTCATTTCAGCACAGGAAGATGGAGGAAATACCTAGACTAAATATTCAATGAAATGCCGCTTTTATGTTTTAACAGGACAGCAAAAAGTTCTGGTTTTTGAGCCTCATATTTGTATGTATATTACACTCTGCTACTGGGAAACAAAAGTGCCTGAACATGACCATGTAACCAAGGATGTGTTGTTAAGGATGCAGCTGAAAAGGCAGATGTAAAAGATGTGCTTTATTGCCAACTAGGCTAAGCTAGTCTAGCTGGTGTTAGCTAAGGCAAGAAACACTGGAAATCAGGGACAATTTTAGGTTTACCTTTCGGGGGGTTCAGATCCCAAAAAGAATAAAAAAATAATAATTAGCAATCAGTTTTCCCTGAATGTCAGTTTTCCCTGACTGTTTATTAGCAATGCTAGAAACTCTACAACTGCTGCTGTGTTGTGTTTACCTACTTGTCAATCTGATGTATTATTTTTAAGTACGAGACAAGACAACCACATTCGAAATGTCATCATCTTGACACAAGCATAATAATTAATGGCTGCATAAGATTCATGTCTTTAAAATATAGTAACACAGAAACAGCGAAAATAAACGGATCCAAAAATCTGCTGTTTTTTTGAGGAAAGAATGACATTTTTAGGGGGTTGAGATATCCCATTTTGGGGGCCGATGCCCACCTAAAAAGGGTTCAGAATCACCCTGGTGAAAATGCACTGTTCTAGAGAAACATCTAGAGAAACCAAGTCAGAATTGTTCATAGTGGTGATGACAGGAACCAGATGTCTGAAGTCATTAACTCTATTGGCTCTATTCTCTGTTGATACATTTTGAGAATTTGATGAAGTTCCCTTGAACTCACCTAAATGTCATTCTCATTTTAAAGCTCAAGCTCATTCAGAGAACAGTTTTCTATGAGTAAGCATTTACTACTGTTTAGCTTAATCAGACTAATAGTAAAACTTGACTGAACTGTGACTATTCAGGTGTTTTCTTGTAGAATTGATCTACAGTTTTCAGCTTTGTTAGGTATTCTTTCAAGTAAATGCAACAACAGCATTCAAAGATCACGTTAGCAACAGAGAAGAGCATATTAAATGACAGAAATAGCCACATTTCACAAGAAGCTTGTGCATGAAATGGTTGTAAATATGCTGCTTGATACTTAAAATACTGTTTTACGATAGTTTGAGCTATTGTATCGTTTTGGCCCAAAACGTATATTTTTTATACCATTCATGGTGGAGATTTACATGCAGGACGTTATAAGGTAAAATAGTACCCAAAGAAAACATAGTTTTTTGTAATTACTACTATTTTATCATTATCAACATTATAAAAGCTCAAAATATGTGTAGATTCAGAGGTCGCTTTAGATAGTAAATAAAATGGCTATATTTGCATGGTAGACATCACGAATGCTGGTCCCCATCACCCTCATTCTAAGAAAATCACTACAAGAGTCAATACGATTCTCTCGAATATTGTGTTTCATATCAAACCAATTTTCATGATATCCAATAGTGTCTTTAATATCAAACCAACCTGAATGACTTTGTTTACATCTCAATGATTTAACAATAGAGAAATTCATAAAAATAGGTATTAAAAAAGGGTGAATTCCCCTTTTAAAAATTTACACCACTGGCACAGATAAGTGTTCAACAGTGCTTCTGACAACACTTCTAGTCAACTGCCTTGTAACGATTCCAATATCTGTCATGGGTAAGGTCAAGCCCAAGCAATCTGAAATGAAATGACCTAATAGTGCTTGAAAAAAGGACTTGTTCTTACCTGTAAAACGTTGCTTTCCGACTCTTCTCCAGTCCTCACCTCCACTTTCTCCAGCAAGCACTTCTTGGCAGTAGCTTTTGTGTATGCAGCTGCTGACTCCTCCAAAGACTCTGCTGTGTTAGCATCTACAACACACACACGCACGCACACATGCCATTCCTTAGCACTTCATTTTAGCTTAAGAATGTGAGACTGTTCAGTTCTACGAGAATAACCTTTTGAGAGATCTCATAATCCACTAAGTCTTTGCTAAAGTTCATCAGAAATGAATGGTTTGGATTTATTATGTTCTGGAATTCTGTTTTTCCAAGACTGTTAAAATGGTCATGGTATGAATGAAAGCTGTACATTTTACCAAGTTTACTGAGAGGTTAAAAAAGCTCTGGAAAGTGCAACTGGCACCTGATTGGGAAAAAATTTAACTGACAAAATTGCAGTGGATGAATTTCCCTTTTGTGAACATTTAGGATAATGAGAGCACTTTTCCCCTCTCCGATTACACTTACATATGAACAGCATACCTTTTTCTGAATTGACATCTTGTGACGAGCAGGGTTCACTGGCTGGACTCTCTGCTTTAGACCCCATGCTGCCCTCTGCTGCCACTTTGCTGCATTTTAGTGGGCTCTAAAAGCAACAAGAGACTGCTCAACACGATGCCTCAGCAAGACTCTGTTAAGGCTAGCTGAGGCAAGGCCAAAGAGCTAGAGAATAATTTGTCAGTCATCTTACCAAAACACGATCTGACATGTTCTGCCCAAAAACAAACTTTGTACTGGTATCGCTGCAATCACCAGCTTTCTGTGTGCTGGAAAAAACAAACATGTTAGGAGCTTACTGCTCAGAGGACAGATGCCTAAAAAAAGGTTTTTCAAAGTGCTAGTGGGACAGGATTAGTTTTTTAGGGATTAGGGAGATTTGGTAATGTAATTATTATGGGGGTTCTTCGTTGATTTTAGTCCTGTCCAAATCCGCCATGTCAGTCATTTTTACGATTACATGCTCCCAGGTCAGTAAACATTCCAGAAGCTTTTACCTACTATAAAAACCAGCTGTAGAAATAACGCCAGTTTCTATTAATCCTGTACAAACGGCCAGGTCTGTAAATATTCTATTATGTTCAGTGGAAAAGCTGAAAGTTAAAGGAAAAGTTTCTGAGGCTTTTCTTGTATTTGAAGACACTTAAAGAAGAAGTTCCTCACTGTCAGGGGAAAAAGAAACCTTGCGTCTCCAAACCAGTAACTTTTCAGGAGAAAAAAGCATTCTTAACTCACAGTGGAAGTTAAGGTAGAAAGATTTTTGTCCTAATATTTTGGATAATTTCTATCGGTCCATTCGTCATGAAATTTCCACACACTGTTAAGGGCAGCTAGAAGCAAATCATGACTATTAGAGCTAGGCATTCAATTTGGGCCATAAATGTCAAAACACAAGAAAAAGCCCACCTCTATGATAGTCCTTATGTCCGCTTATATCCATGTACGATGCTAGGAGTTTGTTAGCACTAAGCTAACAACGATTCACGTTAATTTTTTTTGGCCATTCTAGATTAAACACAGACATTCCTTGAAGCTTGCCAGACATATTAGCATATATTTTACATCGTAGTCATTTCACATTGACTCTTTCACTGGAGAGGCCTGGTGTATAGAGCTGCCACTGTTTTCCATTTCTAACCACTCACTGATCACGCTGTCACTCTTATTCACAGTAAGTGATGTCAAAGTAGCCCTTTAGAAGTCCTAGATACGTTTTTTCTCACAAAATTGGTCCTGCCTTTTGGAAATCAAAACGTGATTGGTTGATTCCACTGTCACTTTGTAATTATGCTGATCGTTAATCTAACATGATAGGCCTTCTCTTCAGCGCCCGAATTCCTAACTAATAGGAGAGCTCACTAAGCTATGTCTACTTAGATACCATAGAGAAAAACAGCTCCTGACTGGCCAATTTTCCACCCAGAGTTTTGTTACTATCAAAATCTTAACAATGAAACAAGAGTAGTACTGTAATAATTGCAGAGTTTAAATACAGGCATGATTCTACTGAATAGAAAGGAACTATAAATTACAGACATGTACACTGATAGGCCAAAACATTATGACTACTCACAGATAAAGCAAATAACATTGATTTTCTCGTGACAATGGCACACGTCAAGGTCTGGGATATATTCGCCAGTGAACGAACAGTCAGTTTGTTGCAGATGTGCTGGGTGTGAAAGAAAGAGGCAGGCGTGAAGACTTGAGCGACTTTGACAGGGGCTTAATTGTTATGGCCAAACAAGCATCTCCGAAATGGCAAGGCTTGTGGGGTGCTCCTGGTCAGCAGTCCGTCAGAGGTCGAAGGAGGGACAAACCACGAATTGGTGACAAGATGCTGGGGGCCTAAGGCTCATCACTGCACGAGGGCAATGAAGTCTAACCCTTCTGGTCCAAACTGAAGGGCCACCATGGCACAAGTCAGAGAAAATTTTAACGATGGTTACGTGAGGAATGTGTCACAACACACAGTAAGGATGCTGCATATACCACTGCATAGCCATAGACCTGTCAGAGTGCCCATGCTAACCCCTGTCCACTGTGGAAAGTGCCTACAATGAGCACATGAGCATCCCATTGTCTTTCACATCATGTACACTGGGAATGTGTGCGCCATTTACCCGGTGAAGAGATGGCACCAGGATGCACGGTGTGACGAAGACTAGCTAATGGACGGATGAGTGAAGCTCCAGGCAATGTTCTACTGGAAAACCCTGGGCCCGGGCATTCATGTGGACGTCAATTTGATACGTGCCACCCACCTAAACACGGCCGCAAACCAGGTACACCACTTCAAGGCAATGGTATCGCCCGATGGTGCAGCCTCTTTCAGCAGGACAATGTGTTCTGACACATCGCACACATTGTTCAGAAATACTCTGAGGAACATGATGAAGAGATCAAGGTGTTGACCTGGCCTCCAAACCCCAGACCTTACTTAAAGGATCTGCTGCTAATGTCTTGGTGGCAGATACCACAGGGCACCTTCAGAGGTTTTTGTAGAGTACAAGCCTAAGTGAGTTTCAGTGACACATTGAGGACCAACAGCATATGAGACATGTGGTCATTGTTTTGGCTCATCTGAGTGTTCTTAGTTCCTAGAAGGTCCTGAAGGATCCCCCTTTTGGTGTTTACAAATAAAAAAAACACAAAAGTGTTGATTTACTTGTACTCTCTTGTGGCTCAACTCAAGACAATACGTATTGTCCTACCTCAAAGTGTACGATTCTGGACATTAAAACATGACAGAAAAAAGGTTGTTTTTATAATTTTATGCAGCGATATTGACGGTTAGGTGTAATGTCCCAAGCTAATGACACACAGCCAGGCACTCCTATCTCTGTGACATTTCTTATTCCATCTGAATCGGTCATAAATATTACAGACATTACATTACCCCACCTCCTCTGTAAAACTAATCCCATCTGAATAAGAAACAAGATGGTAAACATTTCAGATGTGTTACCTTGTGCTATTGATGTACTGTAAGAAATAATTTGTCTCCTCTGACTGAGATATTTCAGGTCTGGAATCACTTTCTTTGATATGTCCTGCTTCAGAACCTTCATCCACCTGCACATATTAAAAAGGAAAAAGTGCTTAGTAACGCTTCTATCTGATCAAGGTCTACAAATGAATAAAAACAAGCAGGCACATTTTACAATTCAATTGCAATCCCATTTCAGGAGGAATCTGCAAACCTTATTTCTGTCTTTGTAATTTTGTCCAAATACAAATGATGACTCCAGGGGCAGGACTTGTTCTTTAGTTTTGTCCCCATTTTTTTGGAATTCATCTCCAATGTGTTTTGTCATCTTTAAAAAATAATATGATAATACACAAGAGAGTTTCAGAGTCTACATGTGAAAACCTTTCCCGTTCATAACCGTTTGTACGGTAACACTGGCTTTAAGCTGTTATGTGCTCACCGGCAGTTTTTCATTCTGATGTGAGCTTCCATCAGAGTTCCTCTCTCGTTCTGGCTGTGCTTCTGATGGCTTCTTCACTCCATTTGTACTGCTGCTATTGTCTAGAATTTGGCATAAACAGAATATTGAACAGATGCTCCGAACTCTTTCAACATCCTCCTACTCCTAGTAACTAGGGAACCTACTTCTATTAACAATGACTAATCTGACAGATGTATAGTGCCATAAAAAAGTATTTGCCACCCCCCTTCGGATTTCCTCTATTTTTGCATGTTTGTCACACTAAACAGTTTCAGATCCTCATAGACAATATAATAAAAGACAAGGAAACATGAGGAAACACAAAACACATTTTTAAATGAACATTTCATTTACTGAAGGAAAAAAGTTTTGCAAAACCTATATCACTCATGTAAAAATGCATGTATAACTGCCCCCTAAGCTTAATAACTGGTTTTGCCACCTTTAGCGGCAACAACTGCAGGCAACAACTTTGGGGTCCTGCCACAGCACCCCAATGAGGTTCAGGTCAAGACTTCATCTAGTCCACTAAAAAACCTTAATTCCTCTTGTGCTTTGAAATGTTGTCTTGCTGCATAACCCAACTGTGCTTGAGCTTCAGTGCTTCAGCACTTTGGGACTGATGACCAGTCAATTTTAACAGGACTTTCTGGTAAAGAGCAGAATTCATGATTCCATCGATTATGTCAAGTCACCCAGGCCCTGAAGCAGCAAAGCATTCCCCACATCATTACACTACCACCACCATGTTTGACTGTTGGTATCATTTTTGTATTGTGGAATGTTGTGCTAGCTTTACGCCAGGTGTAATGGACCTTGACTGAGGTGGGCGAGGCCTGCAGTTCTTTGGAAGTTTGTCTGGTTTCTTTTGTTATTTTCCAGATGAGCTGTCACTGTGCTCCTGGAGCAATTTTGGTAGGCCAACCACCAGGACTGCATGATAATTCGTATTTTTACCTTGTCCTAAATTCATATTTTTTTAAACTTGTGCCAAATATGCTAAAAACAGCAGAAATTAGTGGCAAAACAGTTTTCCATGCCACTCCATTATGTTAAGTACACTCACTGCATGGGCTGAAAGGTTTGGAGGGAGGTGCCTGAAGCACAGCTGGACGAAGGACACTGCGCTGCTGCTCCTTAGGTTTCTGGCTTGGGACTCCTGAATCAAACACCATACATAGTTATGGTCTGACTACACTAGGTTTGCTATGTCTTTGTGGTACTACACATTTTAATTTGAAGAATTCCACATAATATGTGATGAACAATCAGGGTCAGGGATTGTTCCACTGTGGATGTATGTATGGTCTACAAAACCATAAAGAGATGATCTTTTACTTTAACCACCATATGCAAAGGTCTTTTAAGAAAATGGCATGTAAAGCCATTTAACTAAGCAGTAAGCATTTATTTGTTCAAAAAGACACTAACATTACAATAAATACAAATAAACAATACATTGGGATTTAATGTGTGTTAACCATTTCCAATGCTCTCCTTAAGGAAAGAAGGGTATCTACAGTTAGTATTAAATACCTGCTTCAGCTAAACTATCTTATGTTAAATTAAATCAGGTGTGCTGGAATTAGCAAATCCATGCAAAGTCAGGAGCCAAATTTGTGTTCTTCTAACTGTATTCTTCTAACCAAGATACTAACAACTTTTTAAAAACACTTACTGCGAAGATAAACAGTTTTAACCAATTTTCTTGGAAGACCCGTTACACAATACTGTAGGTAGCAGTACCAATTAGTACCAATCACATCGCTGATTAATGTTAAGGATTAAGGGTCAGTGCATAGGATTAGTGTTAAGGTACCGCTTACCAGCACTTGGCGCCTGTCCATGTATTAACGTTGGTGGCCTCAGACGAAAACCCACAACCTTCTCCTCTGTCCAAAAGAACACAAACATTCTAGTCAAAAAACATAGAAACTACATTCATACATTAATTTACAGGCACTTTATTTTAAATATGCGTATGTGTTCACAAGACAGCTGCCCTGTGCAACCTCTGGTCATTCAGATAGTTGACTGAGCAAGTCCCCAAGCATGTAATACCAACGGCAGGAGCAGTATACTACAATGTGAAGTGACGTTACTGCCATCTTCTCAAGATAAACAATATAATAGTCTCCTCAACTGTCTCCAAGTTCATTGCGGATCTTGCGCAACACCAGAAGAAATCGACAAGGGAAGGTCATTGTGCTGGCCAGGGCTGTTTCAGGTCTGACCTGCATCCTGGTGGATATAGCTTTTAATTCTCTACACACACAATAGACTGTGTGTGTACCACCACGAACAGCCCATGGCAAATAATTTCCTCATGCAAACTTTCTCATTAACTGCAACTTAGGTTAACCCTGACATGCAAGTTCACATCAACCACCTTGGCTCTGTTGCCTTCTGATGGGTTGGCCCTTTATAAAACACTTAACATTCAAAATGTAGGAAACAAAACGCGGCCTGCTTGCTAAGTGCTATGTTAGCTCCTTGGCTAACCACAGCTGCACACAAGTCACCCCACTGCTGCCAACCACACTAATGTGGTGACCATAGTGGTCCACCTGGCATAACAGGTGTGGTTTTACTGGCTAAAATCACCCATGTGGATACCTGTGCTGTTTAATGAATGTCAGAGAGTGAAAAACATTTGTAATCATTATTAAAAAGAGCTTTTTTTGCATGTCAAAGTGCTGCTATGTATGAAAGCTCGGTAGCTTACAATAGTTCCACTCAAATGTCAGCTACTACGGGAGAACATCTGGGCAAAGCACAGTTCAGACAGCAGCAGTTAGCTAACTAACATTGTTCTATAGGATGTTTGTGTTTCAGGTTGAGAAGGACCTTTTGGGTAAGATACAGTGTGTGTATGATAATTTTATATAGGAATATTATATCTAACGGCAGCTACTGTCTCCATTAAATAAGATGACAACAAGACACTTTCAAAAAATCACATATAGTCTGCACGTGAAGTGTGAAAAACTATTTGTTTAGAAATAATCACACATTTTTCGCATGAGCACATTTTCACGTGTCATCAGATATTTTTTTCACATTCGCGCACATTTTTTTTCATTTGTGATAACACATTTTAATATGTGAAGATTTACTAGTAATCTAAAGTAGAGGTGTAAGAAAATATAGATATACTTGAGTATTGCAATATTATGTTTTGTGATACTGTAACAATTATGAAAAACACAGTATTGGTTTTTAATTAATAATTTACATGCAAAGATTCATGGCAGACAGTTTGTCTTATCTATCGAACAAGCAGGCTTATATTGTTACTACAGCGTAGTAACTTTTGTTTTTATTGTTCATTCAGCCTTACTTCAGTCTCCTGTACTGTCCAGCTTAATATCACTACTTACCCCTTGATAAATTGATTTAGGCTAACAAAATATCCTACTTATTCTTTTAATGCTGGTAACATTTTATGATAAGCAGATTTAGATGAGGCTGAAGTTAGCTTCCTATACACCAGCTTCTTGTTTGAATTTTCTCATTCCACCTTAAATTATGCAGCAGTTATTATAACAACACCTTAGGCGCCAGGATGTAACTACTGCATTAGTTAAAGTGGAACGGGAAAATTCAAACAAAGAAGCTGATGTATAGGAAGCTAACTTCAGCCTCATCTAAATCTGCTTATCATAAAATGTTACCAGCATTAAAAGAATAAGTAGGATATTTTGTTAGCCTAAATCAATTTATCAAGGGGTAAGTAGTGATATTAAGCTGGACAGTACAGGAGACTGAAGTAAGGCTGAATGAACAATAAAAACAAAAGTTACTACGCTGTAGTAACAATATAAGCCTGCTTGTTCGATAAACTTCAGCTTTGTGTGATTTAGACTATCAAAATGTCCCACCAATGGTTTTATATACAGAGCTGCTATATTTATGCCCTATGGAAGGACATTTCGCCAAGGCAGCACGTGTCAGAACAAGGCTTCCGTAATATGGTGAATACAATGGAGCCTCATTGCACCATATCCTCCCGACAACACATCACTGATATCACTGTGCTCGAGTTGTACAAGGAGGTAAAAACAAACTTTTATTTTATATTTTAAACTGACGTAAGGAAACATTAATTAGTGCTATGATGTTGGATGTAACAGAAACTGATAAATGGAAATGCAGATCTCACTGTTCTGATCGCATAAAAAGTTTTTTTTCCAACAACACAGATTTTATGCATATGGTGGTGTGTTTTATACTATGACAGTTTTCCTAAAATTAGATTTAAAAAAATCGCAATATATTGAATCGCAATCCCTGTATCGTGATACGTAACGTACCGCCAGGTTCTTGCCAATACGCAGCCCTAAAATAAAGTGTAAAACAGTGTACAAATTTAGTGTCTCACCAGGCTCTGAATCAGAATTTCCAGTCGGGGACTGAGAGAAACTGGATGGCATGAAAACATTATTCTTAGAAACTGAAAGAGAAAAAAAAAACAGCAATAAAAAACTGTGAAATGATCAGATGATCAGTAATAAGAGAAATAAAACTGCTCCGTTACCAGAGTTAGAGGGTGGGAAGTGTGTGAAAGATAATGTTTCTCTCTTAGCAGGAGGACAATAACTGCTATCATCTTGATCGGAATCTGGAAAACATGGAAATCACACATGAAAGTCAATACTAATCACATTCACACAATTAATAAACATAAATGTGTATTAGTCTACCTCTCAGAGTTTGAAATATAACTAAAAAGTTCATTCTACTTTGCTCACCATCCACCTTCCATTTTTTCCCCAACAATTATTTCCTTCATGTTAGTCGAGGCCAATCCACACCATCTATCTGAATCTCACCTATTATGAGGTCTGAGAGTGTAAAGGCAATCGCATGCTTCCTCTGAGATACATGAAGCCAAGTAAACTTACTTACTTGTACAAACTACTGCTCAAACAACAACATAGACTTCCACTATTGTCCAGTACCACTTTAAATATTTAGGAAATCCATCCTCTAATTTTTTTTTTTCAAATGAGAAGACAACAAATGAGAAATGTCTCCATATGCTTTAGTAAGGTTGAAGTTGAGCAGTAAATGCAGCAAAAGCATCAGTGACCACAATAAGGCAGAAACACTTTTATGATCCCAGGATTGTGTTAATAAACAAATAAAAAACACTATTTATGACGATTTTCAGAGTAATTTCCCTTTAATTACCGTGACTCAACCCCTTACCTTCTCCATCCTCTGCACCAGATCCATCTGCTGACCTCTGAGGACAGAGTGAGAGAGTGAAGATTACAGTCCAGTATTGTACATGTCCTATTTTAAAAATAACACCATCACTGCTGTTGCATATACTAATGAACTTATAAAAACATACCTTCTGTGCTCTGCCTTTCTGAAGCACAAACACTGGCGCAGCTATATCAGGTTTATCTGCAAAAAGAAAAAGAGAATAAATCATTGGGGTAGGACACGTCAAAGGGGAATTCCACCGATTAAAAAAAAACAGCTTTTGAGATGTAAACAAAGTAATTCAGGGTGATCTGATGTGAAGTGGTTCATTGTAGAGAAATTTATAGACTCTGATTTCTTTCCAGTGGTGGAGATAGCAACCGGGGTTGATGTTTACAACATCATTGCATTTACAAAGCAAAACCACTAGTGAACCTACATGTGACTTCTGAGTTTTGTATGTGATGTTGATAATGATGACAGTAATTCATTTGAAAAAATGGTTTACTTTGCAGACTATTTTGTCTTTCACTGGTGCATAACTAAAATAGTTGGCCTAAAGTAACTTCTGTCATTCATGACTTTTAAATTAAATTCAGTAATTTAATTTAAAAGTCAACCATCTTAAAAAAAAATCATCTTTGAGCACAAAGGTTTCGGTTTTGTACCTTTTATAGACAACTTAACTGGATTTCAGTGTAGATTTACTTTTCAAAAAGGCACAAGAAAGAAAGTCTACAGCCCCTAAACATTACAGGGCCCATAATCTATATTCTTCTACTTTATTTCTTAAGTCTACTTATTGCATTTGTGTGGTTTTATGTACCAAAAACATGTCCCAGTTCATTTTTGTATGAAAATTTTCCAACCTCTCTTTGCTCCTCAGAATTAAGCAGACTGTTTTTGTTACCTTGCCTGTAAAACTCATATATATAAATGAAGTCTGTTCTAACTGCCTAGACCTTTTTCAAAAAGCAGTTTGGGCTGAAACATCCAGAAGCTACACTCATCATTTTAACGTAAATAAGAAGACTTAACTGCTGGATTCATGGTTGTAACATCACTACAATGATAAATTCAAAATGGGTTTTTTTTTTTTTACTTTTTACTACGCATAAAGTAAACTGGAAAATCAGAAAACTGGAACTTTGGTCATCTGTCCAGTGCCGAAGGTCGGTACAAACAGGACCACACGGTATTCGAGGTTGTTCTCCTCTGTCTTAAGAAACATGACAATTTAGCCAACTTTTTACTCATCAAAGTCATCAGGCACTGTTACGTGACCACAAAGTGCACCAGAATGGAAACTAGAATGGTCCGTTGATGCACTAATTGCTATTTTTAGAATTATTACTTTCTAAAGAGCTTGACATAACCAAGTAAGAAGCTAACATTAACACTTATTTCTCATTCTCATTTATGCAAGCCACGCTCCACGGAACAAATGTGTTGCACACATTTTCAGCCATTCAAGCTTTATGCGACCATGAAGGGCTTCCCTTGTTTACAACAATTCCCTTGTTTGGTGTGAAGCTACTGAACTTTTTCTTCCGCCTTGATGGGTGAACAGTCCACCTGTACTTGGTTGCGAACCAAACAAATGAGCCATGGCCCAACAAAAATTGTAGGTCTCAGTTCGCTTCCAAATGAACCCTGATTCGGTTCACTGCTGGTAGGAATGCATTTTTATGACAGTAGGCACCAAACAAGGGAATTCAACAATGATCTGTGTGTTTTAGTGTCTGACTTGTGCTGCTGCTAATAACGTAGACAAGTAATAAAATAATAGCGAAGCAAAGTGTTTCATTTTGCCACATGGATCATGAAACATAACCAATCAGGTCACTGATGCAATATGTTAAAATTGACAAACCAATCAGACAATAGCAGATGTCCAATAAGGTTTACTATTATTACTTTGACTGTGATTCACATATATGTTAAGCATCTCTATTTTAATGCAGTAGGAGTTTGTTTTAGCTCAAATGGAGGGAAATGTAAGAATAACAGAGCACACGTACTACTGCAAAATTTCCGACCAGTAAAAAAAACTAAATGTATAATTTGGTGCACTTTAGCTGTTGCAGTATGAAACCAAGCAAACCAAATAAAAAAACTGGTTTAAACTAGGTGTGAAAACAGCCTAAGCTACTACCAAGCAAGCAACGTAGCTATAAGCCAAATTAGACACTTCAGGGTGGCATAAAATGACAAAAAAATCAATAGTTGTGGTTATTATAATCCAGGTGCAGGTGGAAAATCAATCAGAACTAGAACCGGAATTTCAGTCCATTCCCATTCAGCTCAGTTTTTAATGTACAATCCATTTTGAAACTTTAACAGTGTTCACACAGCGCATCAAAATATTGTTTCCAAAAAGCATGGCATAAGCCCTTTAATGAAGTGAAATGTGAAAAGCAATGCCTACTACCAAGCCACCATATATCTGACAAGGGGGATTTATAAGAATAATAAAATCCCAATACCAGTGATGCTTATGACATGATGATGGTGGAGATGATGATGCTGCTATCATTTGCTCATGTCTATTTTTAACTTACTATAAGGAGAGGGCAACATGCAGAATGGCTTTCTGTAATTTCACAGTCCGTTGATCAGCACATTATCTGCTAATACGTCTGTCCATCACATGATGAAGTGACCCATTTATGATGAGCTCTCAATGTTAAAGGGCTCTTTTTTCGTTCTATTTTATTTTTCCCCTGATTCACTTAATATACTTCTGTGTTTAATGTAAAAAAAAAGCCAAAATTCACTTTGACATTACAATTACCAAACCTGTATTTATAGAATTAAACGGGCTGTTTTTGTTACTGTGCCTTTAAGACTGATATGTAAATGGGATCCTGATTGGCTGCTCTGTGCTGTTTCTTATTCAAAACGCAGTCCAGGCTGAAACCCTCTTTAAAACTTCAGTGTGAATGTGTGGAGCTAAACTGCTCTAGGCGGGTATATGTAAAGGAGCTGGTTCTCATGACATCACAAAAACTGTTCAATTAAACTTTGCTTAGTTTCCATATATGGACTGTATGGACAGGGGGTTTGTGGTATGTGTTAAAACTTTAATAGTGTTTACATACATCAAACTGTTTTATTTCAAAAAAGCAGAGGATGTTTCGTTCAGAAAGCTCAGAAAGCAGGACATCTGCTTTTTCCTCCTTCCGTGTTTGATATGAGGAAACTTAAAACTGCATGTCATGGCAAACAACATCACTCTTTTCCTTTTTAATCAGAAAATCAATTTAGATGGGAATTTCAACTTCCAACAAACTCACTTCCAGATGAACACTGATTACATGTGCAGTCAAACAGCTGACTGAACGAAAACATATTTGCCTAGAAATAAAATACAGCTTATGTAATGCTGCATCTTCCTAATCTAAACATCACGGCGTATGTATGTATGTCATCCGTAACCAAGATCACAAATGGATAATACATAACAGGCTTGGACCAGCCATTTATATTAACCCAATACCACACAACTGGACCAATAGCAAGAAACTTCAGCTATCAGGTGGATGGTAGGAGCTTTGTAGAATGTAAAACACTCCTACAGATGATATATTATCTCTGATATCTTGGAACATTTGGATCTCACTTGTTGGTAAAAGGGACTCTGACGTGAGCTGGACTGTTATAGAACTATATCAAACAATATCATTCAATAAAGTGATCACTCAATCTGGGGTCGGGTTGGTCACTATGTGAGATACACAGCCAAGTTTAAATCTTCAGTAAATAAGCCTTGATACCTTAGAAAAGTTAAAGGTCCCAAACAAATTTTCCACTTTTTTTGGAAATAAACGATTTTGAAGTGGTACGTACAGCTGCATGTACAAGTTTGAAAACCCCTGTTCAAATGATGTGTTGTTGATTTTCTAAGTGAAAAGAAGCCAACAAGTCCTCTATAGTGAACAACTGAAAGCAGCACTATGTAAGTTTTTTTGTTTTTTTTGTTTTTTTTAATATTGGTTAAAATTGAAAGACATAAAATATTGTATTCATGCACTGCAACAAGTAATAATAATTAAACACACACACACACACATCATCCAAACTGCTCATCCTTCTGGGTCGCGGTGGGGTGCTGGAGCCTATCCCAGCTGTCTTTAGGCGGAAAGCAGGATATACCCTGGACAGGTCTCCAGTTTATCGCACGGCTAATAATAATTATAATTTAAAAATAATAATTTAAAAGACAGAGGCATCTGGTCAGATTTTGGGAGCATTCCAGACAATGTTATACATCTTTACATATTAAAGTCAAATACTCAGGCTCAAAAAGAAGATCTGGCTGGATGTTTAGGTCTCAAAAGCAAAATCAACATTATACTAATGAAGATATGACGATAGTAGATAATTCACTTATATTCGCAGAAAACACATCCTTTACCGAGTTTTGATTGAGTTCTCTTTGAATAGTTTCTCTGCCATGTTTAGTGTACAATTTTAACACATTAAAAAAAAAAATATATATATATATATATATATACACAAAAATATGTAGATCCTTATCACAGATCTGCATAACTTTTACACAGGCCACATTAAATGTCTATTTTATCCCCAGTATGTCAAAATCAGCAAACAGACAGGAACAGGGCATTAACATGTGCAAAAAACCTGTTCCTTGTAGAGAATATGTTAATTTACTTTCACTTAGAAAAGCAACCGAACACATCATTTGACCAGGGGTCCCCCAAACTTTTACATGCGACCGTAAGCATTGTCCCAAAACATGCCATTTACTCTCAAGTCTGTAAGGTGCATATATGGAGTAGTAGCAATTTGGAATTCATTGTTTTCGTGAGGTCACAAAAAACAATGAATTCACATATATCCACCTATTCAGAATACAGGAGTTCAGCTCCGCCCACTCCTGCTAAACTTATATGGAGTGTTTCATCAAATGAGGCACAATACAGGGCGGCCAATCAGAACAGAGATCTTTTGAAAAATGAATGAAAAAAACAACATAAAGTGTCTCAGGAAGGCCTCCACAAGCCACCAACACAGATTCAGAGCAGCCTGGCATAGAATCTACACATCTCTGATACAGTGCTGAAGAAATATCATCTTCCATAAGATTTTGCCTTAACTGATGTTTTGATGATTATGGTGGAGCATGCTGTATACCATATCGGTCCAAAATCTCTCACACGCATTCAACTGAGTTGAGATCTGACTCCCATCAGCATAGAAATGCTTCATCATAGGATAAGGGGGTTTAGAATAACTGTGCAATGATTTGTAACATAACAGAGCAACCGGCCACCCTCACTGAAAGGACTGAAGATTCAGGCCTGTACAGTTCTCTTGGTGTTCACTACACATGCACTCGCCCACAAGTGGAGAATATGGTGAAAGATGACTCATCTGACCATATCACTTTTTCCACATGTCTGTTAACAGTACCTGTGGTCTTTGAACCACTCAACTGTCAAATGTGCACCTGTCTTTGTAATGAGGCATTTATTCACTAGAACCCTACTGCAATATCTCTCTCCGTGTTTGAGGATGGACTGCTCTTGCTGACAGTCTAATTACACACTGCACTGACATTCTGCATCATGTGAGGAACAACTGCTCTTCTGTTTTCTTCTTACATATCACACTAATGCATGAGCATCACGCTCACTGAATGGACATTTTCGACCACAAATCCCAACACTGTTCACTGACATCTTTCCCACAGATCTAAATGCAGATGTCACTTCAGCCACTGTTCACACTGAAACAGTAGCCAGTTGAGCTGTCCTTGTAACCATCTTTCAAAGTCACACAGCTCTTTTGCCATCTTAATCCAATACTGAGGTCCACTGGGCCTTCTGAGCATTTTTATATGTTCCACAGAGCATGGAGCATGTAAACTCCATCATTCACTACGGGGATAAAACACAGCCCCTCAATTTACACAAAAACTTGAACGTTTCCCATTTCTCATTTGTAACGCTGTTTTTAAACGGCATATATCCTACATTTTTCTCATATTTCACTGATGTTTATGTGGTTTTATGTAAACACAAAAACAGTCATGGTTAATTTTACATGACCATCTTCCAACTCCTATCACACAGAATTAAACAGGCTGTTTAACTTACTGTGCCTTTAAGACTGATTATGTAAATACAACAAAGCTGACTGGCTGCCTGAGCATTTTACTTAATTCAAAAAGCAGTCTGGGGTGAAACACTCCTTATAACTTAAGTGTAAATGACTGGTAACTTACATACTATGTAAAATTATTTTATTTAAAAAGTGAGGTTAATTCAGTTTTCCGTGATATGGACCCTTAACTACACCTCTGCCATGAAAGCTCAATTACTTAGGAATGGTACTTCAATTGAAGAAATGTCTTACACTTTAGCATAAAGTCCCTTATGTCAGTAGCGTTACCATGTCATTTACTTAATAATATCTTGTGAATACTGACAAACGTAACATGAATACCCAAGTAGCTACTGCTTCTCAGTTAACGTTGTTATTAGATTTATATGCATTCGATAGTAGCTAAGTCCCTAACAGTTATGTCGGCAGCCTTCAAATAAAGTGCTACCAAACAAACATTGACATTAACTGTAATTTATTTTAGCCAAACGAATCGTAATTACGTTACCGTTTGTCTAGTTAGCGGCTAGCTGTGTTACACCACCTCAACCTATCATTTAACCACTTTCTACAGCTCTAAGATGAACAAGTAAAAAAGCAGACTTTCCCCCCAAAAGTGCCTGCACGAAAATGTACAGTTTATATTAGCTATATTCCTTTCTTCCCTAGACTTACACTTGCATAAAGAAACAGTAACCCAACTAACTTTAGCAAAGGAGGCGAGTTAATATCTCCGTAGTTTGATTAACGTTAGCTGTGGCTGTACAGTGGCTGTTCTGCCACTCCTCCTGCTGTTCCTCCTCATCTACCAACATTCACACTGCGCTAGCTTTAGCTACCCGCTAATAGTCTTCTGTACCGTTATTCGGATTTCCCGTTCCACCTTAAATAGTACGCAGTTCCATTCTGGTGCCTGTACGCGCCAGAATGTGGATGCTGCAACATTTAAGGTGGAACGGGAAATTAATATAAGAAGCTCGCGGATAAGAAGCCGACTAAAGCCAGCTAATGTTAGCCCGCTAGCGATTTGATGCAACAAGGCTGTTTAAAAAAAACACTACTAGCTCAGTATAAAACATTCAAGCTTACATTTGTCCAGCTTTCAGAAACAGAAGCCCGGAAACGCCGGTCTCTGTCATCCACAGCAAATTATCACACTCCAGCTCCTTACCTTCATTTGACAAGTCCGCCATTTCAGTCCTTAACTGTACCCATGATCCCATGCGAAAAGGGCTTTTTGTTTTTGTTTGCAAAACCGCATGATAACCACAGATTTTCATTACTTTAGATAAAAGATCTAATTATCCAGCTTTTTCCTGCTAGTAATTAACATCATGAACATATTCAACATCAAAAACATAAAAAAATGAAAAAGTATCCATTTACTGATACCAATAAAATAACAACTAAAATGCATAGTACAATTACAGTATTCAAAAGATTATAAAGAATAGTCAGCAGGTGCACATTTTAAACAATAAAACAACAATAAAACAACAACAACAACAACAACAACAACAATAAAAACAGCATAAAGAACAAACTTATTTTAGTCCCTTTAATTGACATCAACCTTCAATATTTTTAACAGTTCACTTAATATAGAAAAAACTATTTCCATAAAATGTATCAAAAGTTGCTTGTAAAAAACATAGACCTTATAAAATAAGCATTATTCCATGGTGTTACAAACATGTTCTTGGTGTCATTTTGAGAACAGTAGGAGAGGTAGCTATAAGGTCATGTTACTGTAAGGCACTTTCCACTAAACAGGAATTAGATCTCACGTAGGGCTGCCACTCACCCAGGATATTCCTGAATTGACCTGGATTTTGGTTGTCTGTCCAGGAAAAATGAAATCCATTCCACAAAATGTCCCAGAATCCCAACATTTTTATATGTTAGCATTTCTTATAAAGCTTTCATTGCTTCTTTTTATCCAATCAAACCAAATGCAAAGACATATGTAGGGACAGCTTCAGAAAGGTGCACTGTTGGTGACGTGTTTAGGCACTAGGCAACACTGCAACGCAGTAACTGAGAATATCCAGAAATTTAACAAAGCTGAGGTCACAATCTCTTGTGAACATTAGTGTACTTGCCTATTCTTCATCACCTAATATCTGATATTCTGGAGCTTTACTGCGGTAAAGGCAATAATGCTGAATTATGAATACAACATCAAAAAATATTGAGAATACGCCCAATCCAAACTTTGTCGGGTCTCCAAATATAAGTTTCCATTTATCTGCAAAAGAGATATAATTACAGATAGTAAGAATAGTTTGAGAATATATCTTTTTCAAACAAAAAGGTAACTAGAAGAATGTAATGTGCATGCCCTTACCGTTGTTATATGACTGCAGGAACATCTGAAGGAGGCTAAAACTGCCTCCTGTGAAATCCAGTAGCACATTTCCAATGCTCCAGCCCTCTGTGCTTTGTCTCCGGTAGTTCATGTAAGCCTTAAAAACAGTTAGTCACAGTAGTCAGATCTACTTGGTCATTGTCTTCTACAGTATTCTTCTACCTAAGAACTTTACTTTGATTGTTCAAGATATTCTGAGAGAAAAATCACTGTTATAAGACAACCATTTAAAGTCTATTGTCTTAAATATCTTAATTTCACTTATATAACAAGTAATACATTCATACAAATGCACCATTAAAAATCCCATTTAGTCAGGCTTAGGCTTAAAATGGGCCCAAAGTCTGTTATGTAATACAAGAAAAAAGGGGACTTACCTGGGGGATGTACTTAACCAGTGTGACCCCTAATTTAATGTAGGAGAAATAGTACAGGTACTCCAGCCATGTGATCTTCTGGAAAACCGCAACAAAGAGTGTGACGAAGGCAAAGGTCCAAGCAAGTGCAAGTAAAATCATGGCCACTCTGGACACCTTCTGTCCTCCTCTCTAAAAAATGTTTAAAAATGACAGCATTTTTGAGATATATAATGCTACAGTTAGGCATTGTTATAAAAAAACATGTTGCACATGTGAGTTCTGTTCCATTAAATCACTGCAAATCATGTAAAAGCAAATTTTTTTGAAAAAGAAAAACAGTTATAGTAAACACTAATAAAGTTCCAAAATGTACTGTTCACCCCCCGCCCATACAGGTCATATATGGAACATAAGCGACAAATACAGTCTGTTTTGAAGACCGGAAGAAGCTGAAAGAAGCGGTCAGGAAAACTAACTAGTGTACAGTTAGTACTGTACAAACGTTTTAAGCGCTGAGAATAAGAATTAAAAAGCTATTTAATTGGGCAATACCTGGCTCAGTTAATCTCTCGCTCTCTCTCTCTCTCAAAAATCTATTTTGCATCTGTTCTAAGTTTTACAAGCAAAAACATACTTTTTTGCTTTTTTAAGATAAATGGTTTAAACAAGGTGCCTAAGACTTCTCCAACATACCGTATCTCTGCCTATTCAGCCAGCAGATTAGCCCCCACACCCTCAAGTTAAAATACTTAAGAGTGTTTCAGCCCAGACTGTGTTTTGAATGAGGCACAATGCAGGGCAGTCAATCAGAGCAGAGCTCATGTACATATATCAGTCTTAAAGGCACAGCCTGTTTAATTCTAAGGCCTAAAAAGAAGTCGTAAAATGGTTATAAAAAAGTGAATAATGACAGCATTTGGTGCATAAAAGCACACAAATATTATTAGCAGACTTCAGGGGAAAAACCTAAAATACAAAAAAATATATTACGTGGGCTGTTTGTTGAAGTTAATATTGTATTGTCCAATACCTTTATAGTTAAAAGTTTTGATTTATTACAAACCTCATATATCGTACACTGGCAGATATAGATGAGAGTAAGGACCAACGCATGCACACTGAAAAACACATCATTGGCGTCCACAGGATTGACTCCATTTGGATCGCTCTTCAAGAATTCCTCCTGTTGACGCATATACATATACACAACACACACAGTTTAATTTAAATTATTCAAAAAACACTGAAAAGTGTATCGTACAAATTAAAACAAACATTGAAATTATTATTATTAATTAATTATAGTGGATTTTTTTTCATGGGTTCCTTTTAAAATTGTCACATTTACCTTTATGTAAGGTATCCAAAAGAGGCCAACATTGAAGACGCTGTAGGCAATAAATCCAGTGAGGTTCAGAGCGAGGAAATCGAAGTTCAGGCCCACCACACTGTAAAATAATCACAGTTGGCACTAGAGTGTTACTTCAACTGAAGTGGGCAATTTCAACAATTTCCAGTAGTTATATGAAGGAGCGTTTACCTCTTTCTTTTCCAGTTCTCATATGCCTGAGGATAGAAGGAAATAGACCAGGCTAGGAAGTAGATCCAGCCAATAATTTGGTTGATGACAGCAAGAGCGCGGCTTCTGACGACCAAGAATCTTATTCGGGTTTTCATGCTGGGGAAAAAAGAAAACTATGAATGTATATTAAAAAATATTTGCCATCAACTGAAAAAGGGCACTTTAGAGGGCTGTATTAAGTTAAAGCATCACTTTGAAACAAATGCCAGTTCATGGCATTCAATTAAATACATTATGGACCTCTGAATTCTAAATTTTTATATGAACTTAACATCAGAGTTAAGTGCGTGAGGTTTAAATCGAAGTTCTTACTTAAAAAAAAAAAAACTTTTTATCTAAGACAAAAAAAATCATCTCTTGTTGTCCTCCCTGGGGATAAGAACTGCACTCGGTTTATACTTCAAAATGGTGTTGCACAGCCACAACCTATCACTGTTACATTCTCCATTTATTGTGTGAATTGTGAATGACAAGTGTTTAAAGGGCAATTACACCGATTTTTCAAAATGTATGCATAACTTAATCATTGAGATGTAAAGAAAGTTGTTCTGAGTGATTTGATGTGAAATAATCCATTTGAGAGGATCTGAATTATTAAGGAACTGACTCTGAGAAGCAGAATAGTTCACAGCAGTGGTGATGTGAGCCATTTGTTTGAAAGACTTTAACACTTCAAAGTTATTCCAATAAAATGGAATATTTTATGTTAAATATAAATGTTGCCTCATGCCTGAAAGAATATTTTCATTGTTTTACCATAGTTTTCAGATTCTTCACTATTTTACCATATTAAAACTCATAAGCTACGTAAGGGTTCAGTGATCGTTTTAGATAGTAAATAAAATGGCTGTACAGCTGTATGCAAAAGTTTAGGCACCCGTGGTCCATGGTTAAATTAGGTTTTGTTTTGCACACTTCTAAGTGAAAATAAGTTAACACAGTTGCAGTAGTTTCTCTATAGACAGTTCTGTACATTTTAAAACACAAGTAGTTTATTTGGTAATTTAAAATGGCCTGTGCAAAAGTTATGGCACATTCTAAGTTTTACATTTATTTTTTCCCCCAATACGTTAAACAAGAAACTAAGGTGAACCTCTTCAAAACTGTGCATGACCAATGCTATATTTTCATGTGTTACCTGTTGAGGACATGATAACTAATTTTCACTTAGAAAATCAACATAATGTAATTAGCTGTTTTTGCACTGTAGATATTACAAACCCTGGTTCCCATCACCAACAATTAAAAAATCTGTGTTGGTAAGTTCTCCACAGTGCACCATTTCGCATCAAAACACTCTGAATTAATGTCTCACATCTCAACAATTTTGTAAAAAAAAATGGTGGAATTTCCTTTTAAAATATACATCAACTATTTTAGCTTTAATAAATTCCTGTCTACCAATTAGCTTGACAGCTAGTATTTCAACTGTACTAGATTCATTTACGTGTTTTCCTACATCTGAGATTGTATCTGTGACAGTATCATGATGTACAGTAACACATCACTACCAACAACATTTAAATGAGCATGGAAAAGGTCACCAAGCAATTTAGAAGATGACATTAATTTTATGACAAAATGGAAAAGATGGAAGTTATGGCTGTCTGCATTATGATGCATTAGCAACATAATAGTGCTTCTGAGTCCTTCTTCTATGCCTCACCAAGTTTAAAGATTTCTGAAACCTGTTTCAAATTGTAGCTTCAATTTAGCTTCAGTCTAGCAAATCCATACGTGCACATATAGATTGATATATATTTACACACACACACACACACATATATACACACATATATATATATATATATATATATATATGTATATATATATCAATATTCTATCCCCTGTGTACCCTGCATCTCATTTATCTACCTCAGACTCACAATTGCATATATGAAAATGTTATATCACTTTACAAAAACTATACATTGTATTGGTGCATATTAATGTGTATATATGTATATTTAGAGTCTAATGTGTGTGCATGTGTACACACGTATCTGTCTATCTATCTATCTATATAAAGCTTTGTTATATATATTCTCATATATTTAAGTACTACAGTACTTAAATGTACACCTTCGCACCTGTGTAAATGTGATTGACAACAAATGTGATTTTATTTTATTTGATTTGAAATATGTTTTTCTGGGAAAAAACTTTGGCCTGTTGCTCACAGAATTCTTTTGTTCTAACCAATCTGAAAGCAGCAGCAGCAAATATTGAAAACATTGTGACTGCAGTACAAAGCTAAGAACGTTCATACGTCTCATACCTTTCTATGTCAGTGTTGTTGCTGTACAGATATGCAGTCACTTGACCAACATTCTCTGCCTTAACTTCAAACGTGGCTGATGTGCTTCTTGCTGGCATAACAACCTAGAAGAAAGAAGCACAGCTGAATCAGTCAGAATCTAAAATCTGGTGCTGAATATTACAAAAAGGATTAAAATCCTTATGAAAATGTTAACTTAACACTTAAAAAGAACCAGTGAAATTTAAAACGTACCTCCTTTGGAAGATGAATAATTGAGGAAGAGTCATTTTTGGAATTGTATGTAATATTAAAGTAGATGTTTACAGTAGTGTTCAGGTAAGAACTATAAAATAAAGCAAATGAATTAAAATACTTTTACTAGCTAACATATCCAGTTAATATCACCCCAACAACAACTCATGAATTTCAGTCTCAGTCAGAAGAGTCTCAGACCTTGCTGTGATGGTGATATTTTTGGAGAATTTCTCCTCCAAATCAACAGTATGCAGGGCACTCAGGGACACTTTTGCATCTGTGAATGTTAAAGCAATCAATTAGCTATAATGATGTTACCAAATATGGTGTTATGGTGCACTTGTGCACTTTATGGTGTTGACTTACGTGAGACGATGTGAACAGGTTCCATATGTTGTGAGTCTGATAAGAGGACGGTACTCACCACAACGTATCAACAGTGCACAAAGTGCCAGAAAAACAACTGCTGGATGACCAGTGTTCGTCATCTTGAGCTTGGACACGACAGCCTGCGAATAAGACAGAATGAAGTGGTCGTTAAATCTGGACATCTGGCTATTCTTGCAGGAATGTTACTAAACGTTGCCCAGCTTACTTTTCCTTTCCTCTCTCCTTCTCTCAATCGTGCCGATTACTAGGCTATATATGGAAACAAACCTAAATATAAGGTTTAAAAAAATGAAGCGAAAGCAAATGAGTAAATATTCAAATGAGGACTTTACCCGGACAGCATCTGTTTAGAGTCGAGGCGGTTGTTCTTCCTGATCACATGAGCAGAGTCAGCTGACTCAGATGACGCTTTGCTCTGAGGAGGGGTGGGGGGGTTTCCATGGAGACCGGACTCGACCAGGAGATTTTTAATTCGAGCTGAAAGTCAAAAACTGGATTTACGAAACCATATATTACCAGAAATAGGTAATCTACACTATATAGCTAAAGTAAAGTAAACTCTTTAAAGTAAAGGCTTTATTCCCGCCGAAACGTGTACGAGCGCGCGCTGCGTTCGTTGACTAGTGATGCGCGGCTCCGGTTTTTCTTGATTCCTGGCGCGGGAATCGATTCGAGGCGACTCCCCAACTCAGCAAAGGGATACAGCATTAAGTCATCATACAGAAAATCATTTCTGTAGTCAGAATTACTTGAAAATGAACCGTTTGTAATTCTTGGAAAAGGAACCAGCCGAATGTCACCTTGTTCCTCTTTTCACGAGGCCGGAGTTCCTGTTCAACGGCTTTAATAGTGTGTCGGTGCCAGAATGCAACTCCGGCGCTACCATTTAAGGTAGAACCATTCAATGTACCAGCCTCTTGAATAAGGAGCAACGTTTAACTACATCCTCTTTTCCGCAACGTCCTGTGAAAACGTTCTAACCATTGTTTACCCCAATCATGAAGAAAATGAAGGCCTAATCCCATTTCTTATACCCCTATCCCTTGTTTTTCGAGTGCCTCCTTGCCCCTTTGGAACTGAGTTACAAGGTAGTGGTTGAAATCTTCCTCTACAAAATAGAACAACCCTCAAATAAAAAGTATATCACTTCATTCGCTGAATGAAGTTAAATTTAGGGCATCATATGCCTTCAAACGGAGGGGGGGGGGCATCATCATTCTTCTAGCGATTTTTTATGCTTGTTATGAAGAAAAGGACCATAATACATTGAAACGACATTAGACTAACATAATACAATGGTTATTATAATTTTTACTATCCGTTTTTTTCTTTTTTTCTCATAACACTCTGTATGGAGTGTGCCTCTCAAAAACCTCAGTTTGGAGGGCCATGTAGCCCTAACACTTTGCCCTACCCCTCCATTTTAGCAAAAAGGGACACGGGACAAGGGGTGAATTAGGATTGGGCCTTAGAGTCATTGGCCAAGACTCCACCCCCGACTCCCGCACCTGTTGGAGTTGAAGAATCGATTCTTTTGGAATCGAGTCCCCGTCACTGTCGCTTACTCAGTGTGTGACTTGAAAACAGTTTACTTTTTACCTCTTCTTTAAACTTTTTACTGTTGTAAAAAAGACAGAACACAGAAGACACGTCTGCATATTTAATGCACAACTGCCTTCAATTACATATTAGAAAAAGTTATGCCACATCTTAGATTTGATGTTTTATTTTTTCCAATATGTTAAGATTTTTAAATAAATAGAACAAATTAACAGAAAAATTGCTTATGTAGGTGTTTTTACAAAAGTTAAGTGGATCTGATAAAATGGACAAGAGTGTATAAACAGGGAGATGTACTTAATAAAGTGGCCGGTCGGTGTATACGACAGAAGCGAGCGTTATCAGGTGATCAGTGTGGGGTTTGGTTTGTGGAGAATGCAGTGCGGATTTCCACCGCTAGAGGGAGACATACAATCACTTATTAGTGCATCGGTCGATTCATCTACTAATTAGTTGGGTTTGAAATAGTGTTTTATTACAGGAGAGCAGAGGAGCTGAATTCAGTCTGAGTGCATTACTGACCCTCGTAGCAAACACGTGAACTCATTTTTAAGATGAACTTTTACTTGTATGTAGCCCTACCACGTTGTGGCTCTGTTGTGCTAAGTGGACAGTCTAAGAGGGCTGTGTCGTTTACATTGGTCCACACGGTGGAGCCCCCCATTTATATTTGTTTTGTCTCTAAACTGACCTCGCACAGCTGCGTATATAATACAAGTGTGAACTTGTTCATTTTCACAAGACCGTATGAAGCGTGTTTTAACATCTAATCATTGTAGTGAATGGAGCTGTTTATTCATTACTGATGTGGTGTACTTTTTCATTTAAACCCATTGATTTGATCCGTACAATAATTAAATAATTCCATAATAATTCAACAATTCCATGCAATTATAGTAACAAAAGATGAAAGCAGTTTTCCATCTTAACTCCTGTTCAGCCTACAGGTCACAGAGGTGTTACAGTTTTATCGAAGCAGGGTATGTGATGTGTAGATTTTTGTGTAGGATTTGGAGTCTAACACTCACCTGGTACCTCAACCGAAGAACTGAGATAAAACAGTTTTAATGCATTTTCTTAGAGGTAAGGTGTTCCAAGTGGTTGCTAAAGTGTTGCAAAACCATTGCTTTCGTAATACAAGTGGTTGCTGATGTGTTGCTAAATGGTGGTTGCTAAGGTGTTTCTGGGTAGTTCCTATGGTATCCCAAGTGGTTGATAAGGTGTTGCTAGGTGATTGCTATTGTATCCAAAGTGGTTGCTAAGATGTTACTAGGTGGTTGTTATGGTAACAAGTGGTTACTAAGGTGTTCAAGATGGTGGCTATGGTATATCAGGCAGTTGCTAAGGTGTTGCTAGGCGGTTGCTATGGTTACAGAGGTGGTTACTAAGGTGTTGCTAGGTGGTGGCTGTTGTATACCAGGTGGTATGGTGTCCTAGATGGTTGCTAGGTTGTTGCTAGGTGGTTGCTATGGCATCCCAGGTGGTTGCTAAGGTGTTACTAAGTGGTTGTTATGGTAATAAGTGGTTACTAAGGTGTTGAAGGTGGTGGCTATGGCATATCAGGCGGTTGCTAATTGGTGGCTATGTTATAGGTGGTTGGTGTTGCTAGCCGGTTGCTATGGTGTCCTAGATGGTTGCTAAGTTGTTACTAGGCAGTTGCTATGATGTTGTAGATGGTGGTTAAGGTGTTGCTAGGTGGTTGCTATGGTATCCCAGGTGGTTGCTAAGGTGTTGCTAGGTGGTTACTATGTGCGAGGTGTTTGTGAACTGTGTGAAGGGCGAGTGTGTGGTGTGTATGGAGTGTGTAAAGTGTGTGTTGGGTGTGGAGTGAGTGGTGTGTGTCGTATGTGTAGAGAATATGTGGTGTTTAGCATGTGTATTGTGTGTGTGTGTGTGTTGTGTTAGTTGTGTGGCATTCTAGGTGGTTGCTGAGGTGTTTTTAGTCAGTAGCTATGCTATCCCAAGTGGTTGCTAAAGTGTTGCTAGGTGGTTGCTATGGTATCCCAGGTGGTTGCTAAGGTGTTACTAGGCGATCCTGATCAATGTCCATGGAGGAAGTAACCCAATAACCAGCTAATTATGGATTCTATTATTATGTTATAATAACATGACAAACACATTTGTATTCAGTGTGTAAGACAGATTCATTTCAGATCTAGTTGTCACTACAATGTCACTGCCCTTCTATAAAGTGTGACAAGTAAAATCGCAGACCAGCAAAGTAAAAGTGAAGAGCTTTTGTTTAAAAGCACTTTGTAAAGGGGGGTTTTAACTTTAAAAAGTTAGTGTTTCTGCTGCTTCAAAATTTTGATTTATTTGAACTTCAAATACTAAGTTGACAGGGCATAAAACACACTTGTTCCATAATTTAAGGCAGCCTGAACAATTTTTTAAGTTAAAACAACATTATATTTACAGTGGACAGTATATTCTTTTGCACATATTTATTTTATCTTTGATAAAAATAATCTAGAAACATTTTAATTCTTACTTGTCTACTTTTGACCTGTTCTGCATTATTCTTGAAGCATTGTAATAAAAGGTATAACTGATTGTTTTGTGGGATGGACATATTCTAGTTTTAACTGGTGTAAAATATTTCTATTAATATTAATAATGTTGATGGGAATTTGATAAATCTTTCCTGTTTAGAAAGCAATAAAGTGCAAATACATATATCAAATCATTGTATTGGATAAGTGTTTTGTTCATAAAATACAGTGTCTGAAGAGTCTTAGAAGTTGGTTGCACTTTCTGCTTCTCACCAAGTAATCACATAACGCATTCAGTGATGTTGAGGTCTGGACTCTGGGGTGGTCAGTCCATTGTTCTGAGAACAGCAGCAGCTTCTTCATTTGGTTTGTAAATTTTCTTCTTTTTTATCTATTTCCTTTTCTCAGTAAGAGCTTCGTCAGCTGCACATCCTTTCAGCCTCATAGTGCTGAGTTGTCTTCCTCATTACGTCTCTCAGAGCCATAGAATAATGAACACTCAAATAACCTGTGCATGATTAAAGGGGTCTTTTATCATGAAAGGGTTCTTTAGACTGATTGAGAATGTGCTGTAGATGGTTCTATCTAGAAGCTTTTTGAAAATGGTTCTATATAGTACCCAAAAGCTTGACATCAAACAGAAGAACCTTGGGTGCTTATGAAGACCCCTTTCAGAAATGTTCTATATAGAACTGTTTATAACACATTCATGTACATTACCATCAATTTGAAAAACACTTTCATGATATAAAGAACCCCTTAATCATGCAAAGGATTCTTTGAGTGTTCATGGTTCTACGTAGAACCATTTTCTTTACTAAAGAACCTTTGAAGCACAATCTTTTTTAAGATTGTGTGATGTGACACACGTTCCTCATTACATCTCTTGGAGCCATAGAATCATGAACACTCAAATAACCTGTGCACAATTAAAGGGGTCTTTTATCATGAAAGTGTTCTTTAGACTGATTGAGAATGTGTTGTGGATGGTTGTATATAGTCCTTTTAGAAAATGGTTCTAAATAGCACCCAAAAGCTTGACATTGTAACAATAGAAGAACTTTTTTGGGTTCTATATAGAACCTTTTTCAGAAAGTTTCTATATAGAACCGTCTACAGCAAATTCGTGCACATTCTCCGTCAATTTGAAAAACCCTTTCATGATGCAAAGAACCCTTTAATCATGCAAAGGGCTCTTTGAGTGTTCATGGTTCTATTTAGAACTACTTTCTTAACTAAAGAACCCTTAAAGCACCATCTTTTTTTAAGAATGCGTGAGGCGACACATGTTCCTCATTACGTCTCTCAACGTGGGGGAGGTCATTTAAAATAGCTGCATGTCTGAGAATCTGGGAAATCCCATTTCCACTAGAAAAGCAATAAATAAGAATTTAAAAAATAACTGCTGATGGGATGAAGCTGTCTGATACTGTGCTGATTTTGCCCCCCCCACACAGCAAGGAAGAGGGTTCAAAAGGCAAAGTCCTGTCTTCATGGTTCACAGTTGGAGAACCACAGATGTTCGCTGCGTTCACTGTGATGTCCTCTAACAAACACCAACCGCATGCCAGCAAACTACATGAGCCGTCCATCCATCACATTACGAAAATAAGTGAGTTCATTTAGTGTCACTGAATCTTTGACTGGTGGTGGTTTCTGTTGCGAGATGAGAAATAGTGCTTTTTGGCCACAAACACCACAGAGTGGTTTGGCATGAAAAAGAGACAGTAATCCAGAAAAGAACCTTC